CATCCACCAGGCGGGTCACCTGGTCATACAAATGATACCTCATGATTAACAAAAAGAAAATAATTGCAGAAATCTACAGAACTTCTGAGAGTGAAATCTGGTTCCTTTGAATTCAGTGTGTTATTTAGCGTTCACCTCAGCTGAGACAAGAACAGAGTTTAGATAGTTGAGAGAAATTTTCAGTAATCACTCCTTGACACAAGCCATAGCTTCTCAGACAGCGCATCCAACTTCTTGGTGCCAGTGTACCTGGCAACTGCTACACTTGAAGAGACTTTCAAAACAGAATGTGACAATGCAGAGACCCATAGTTACATTTTCCACTCTTAATTTATGTAGGGCATGTTTAGAACTACATGTGCGGTAAGAGAGCTGCTCATTTTAATGTTAATGCAGGATTAGATTCTGTCAGATGAAAAGAGGAGTTACTGCAAATATGGCTTACTTCAAAATCTTTAGTATTATAAATATTTTTACAGCTTAAAACATTGATATTATTATGGTGTATCAGGTTTTTTGAAACTATTTCATAGTTCATCTGTTTAAAAATAATTGAAGTCTGACAAGAACTTATGTTTGTCTTTTTAGGAACGATTATTGAAACCCCTTAGTGCTTTTATTGGCGTGACTGGTGAGATGAGAGAACTTGCAACGGTTGTAAGCAAAGTAAGATCAGATCTCCATTTTGGTTGTGTAGAGATCTTGGTTATCTTTGTCATCTGAGAATGCTGACTCTTGCTTTTTACTGTCACTGATGGTGCTTATTCTTGAACGTGCAAGCCATTTTTCTTATCATGCAACTCCCAAAAATTAATTTATTTATATGTAACGATGTTTCTTTATGATACACAATGAGAGGAAGTAATTAAGACAGTTCCTTTCTAATGGGGAACACGTTAATCTACTCATGCTGTACTCATGAGACTGTCATAGCTTTTCCCTTTGTTCCTATTGCTACAGAAAACGTACAATAGTTTACTGAAAAGAGAGATTTAAATATATTACCTAATAGCAACTATTATCTAACGTATTATCTAACTGTGATCAAATGGTGGGAAGAATCCTGACTGAGCTCTCTGGGTGCAGTTTCCATCCAAGGCATTGGGCTGCACTGCGTGTGGATGGTGTGCCAGTATCGCAGCAATATTCTGATTCTGAGTGCATCCACTAAATACCATGTACCAAAATTATTAAACCCTGATACTCCCACATTCTTTTTACTACCAGTCCCGTGCATTGCATTGCGCTGCCTGCATCATTTTCTCGCTTGGCGCAGCTGAGAGATGCTCATACTGTAGGCCCTGGAAGCAGTGCCCTTCCCTCATCCCAGCACAGGAGCTGCGTGGGCAGCATCACTAATACACTGTATCCCAGGGCAGACTGGGGATTCTTCCAGGATGGGCAGTTTGACACCTGGAGGGAATCCCAACATGCTCAGCACCCTTTCATTTCACTCGTGGGTTGAGATGCAGTCTAGTAAACAGGCCCTTGAGCTACTGGGGATCAGTGGCTACGAAGCGGGTAAATGCTTTGCATGCATCACCTCTCAAACCCTGCTAGACACTTCTCCAAAAGGCTTCATAGTATTACAATATTTGATAGTGGAGTGACTCTTTCTGGTTATAAGCATCAGAAATGGTATCAACTGTTGCTCTCACATATGTAAAATCAGCTGTTTTAGAAAGCCTGGAAGGCTTTTGCTGACTGATTTTTATAGCCGTGTATGGCCCAAATTCTTGATCTGCAAGTTTTGCATTTGCACTTTAGTAGAACTGAAGCCTAAGAAATTTCCAGCCTTAAGGTAAGAAAATTCTCATTAATTTCAATTCCAGTCTGGTTTTTAATTTATGGCTAACCTTTAAAATAGTGTTGTTCTTGCCACTACTTTAGCGAAAAGCAATAGGGTTTCTTTAGCCTTCATTATGGTATGTTTTTTAAATTGTGCTGGTATGTTCGTAGTTGCTATGGTAATCAACACTGTGTAAATCAATAAAAATAAATAGCATGTGGTATCTATTTCACAACACAATCTAATTTAATTTGGAAACAGTTATAAAAGTCTCTACTTAGTATCATAACTCTGATTCATCTTAATTTGCTGTTAATAGAAAGGGAAAGTGTAATCTACTCTATATAAAAAAATTTTCTAATTGTATCAAATCAAATTTTCCCCTTGGATATAAGCACATAATTTTTCTTCAGTCTCTGGGGACTGCCTGTTTTTATTGGAAAGCAGAATTTATACCAAGTATTTGTACTGAGGATATGATATTTCCTGCAGAACAATTAATCTCTGGAATGCAAAGCCACCAAATATTAGTAAGGCAAATGGAAAGATTCATAGAAGATTTGGAAAGTTTGATGAATTAAATGAAATTAATCTAGTGAGTGCTTCAGGGCATAGACTAATTACTGACTATCTTTTGATAGATGCTTAGGGGAAAATTTTCCTCCTGTTACAGAGTTTCTCACAACTTTTCTTGCAGCATATCAGATCTTGCATAGTGTGGAATAAATAGCAATTTTTCATTGTTACTTATAACATAAGTAATAGGTGCAGCCATAAAGTTACTGAGCATCAAATTTCAAACAAACAAAAGTATTTTCACATTGCACATGATTAAACTGTGGAACTCATTACTACAGAATAAGCATGTTCAAAAAAGAGAGGTGAGAGATTCACTGAAGGATGAATGTCAAAGAGTGCTTGAACTCAAAGACTAAGACGTAATTTTAATTATCGCGGTCCTTCGGTTGCAGCTTTTGGTGGATGTAAATATGAACCAATGTGTCACTCCTAATCCTTATACTTTTTTTTTTTTTTAAACATCCAATACTTGCTGACATCGGAGACAACATATTAGGGTTGGTCAGCCTTCATGTTATGATAGCTCTTCATATGTTAGTTGGTTACTAAAACCAACTAACAGAAAACAGATCTGAGAAAGAGATCTGCTCAGCATATACGTTTGGCAGTGTATATACTCTTAGGGAAACTAGGACCTTGAGAGGAAGAAATGTACAATGTAGGAGCTCTATAGAAATAATTGCTGTGTATGCTTTCTTCTTGGGAGGTCCCTAGTACGTAAGGTTAAATAATACAGTTTGTATAACTTAATAGCACTCTTATTTTATAACCGAGTTGATCCTTTTACTTTGCCAGAGGTCTTTATCGTAGTGCAGAAGAACTTTTACTAACAGGATGTGATGTATGTTGCAGGACATTTATCTCCATAATCCAAACGTGAAGTGGGATGATATTATTGGACTGGATGCAGCTAAAAGGCTAGTCAAGGAAGCAGTTGTTTATCCCATAAGGGTAAGGCGCTAAACAGTTTTCAGAAAACCAGTGTTGGGCTTGTTAGCGTTTTCTTTGTAATTATGGTGGTGTTTTAGAGTTCTCACTGTTTCTATGCTTTTGTTCATGTTAGAACTATTCCTGTTCCTGTTTCATCTGACAATGGCATACGCATTCTCCTATAGGAAAAATGGCTTTTCAATATTAAAATTATAAGGTCCTATTCTTTGGCACCTTTGGCAATATAAGAGGTGCTGGATTTGGCCTACATTAATTAATTCAATGGAAAATGACTTACAGAAGAGAACATCAAACCAATTGCATTTGAAGAAGTCACTTAAAACACATTTCAAATGGTAAATACAGTATTTTTCTTCAGTACTCGGATCATATATCAGAGAATCATTAAGGTTGGAAAAGACCTTTAAGATCATCGAGTCCAACCATCAACCCAACACCACCATGCCCACTAAACCATGTCCAGAAACACCGTGTCCACATGTGTGTTTGAACACTTCTAGTGATGGGGACTCCACCACCACCCTGGGCAGCCAGGGTACTTGACCACTCTCTCACTAAAGAAATTCTTCCTAATATCCAATCTAAACCTCCCCTGGCGCAACTTGAAGCCATTTCCTCTTGTCCTATCGCTAGTTACTTGGGAGAAGAGGCCAACACCCTCGTCGCCACAACCCCCTTTCAGGTAGTTGTATAGAGCGATAAGGTCTCCCCTCAGCCTCCTCTTCTCCAGACTGAACAACCCCAGTTCCCTCAGCCGCTCCTCATCAGACTTGTGCTCCAGCCCCCTCACCAGCTTCGTTGCCCTTTTCTGGACACGCTCCAGCACCTCAATGTCCTTCTTGTAGGGAGGGGCCCAAAACTGAACACAGGATTCGAGGTGCAGCCTCACCAGTGCTGAGTACAGGGGCACAATCACTGCCCTGCTCCTGCTGGCCACACTAATGCTGTTACAGGCCAGGGTGCTGTTGGCCTTCTTGGCCACCTGAGCACACTGCTGGCTCATGTTCAGCTGTCTATCAACTAGCACCCCCATATATTACATTGTTTGGGAGGGATTTTACCCCCTGCTCTGCAAATTTCTTAGGTTTCCTAAATGTGTTAGGAGCAGTGGAGATAGGACTTAGAATCCCTTGCATTTTGTTATAAATTATACATTTTTAATCCATTAATTACTTTTCTGTTTCCACAGTACCCCCAGCTGTTTACTGGCATTCTGTCTCCTTGGAAAGGATTATTGCTGTATGGACCACCAGGTATGGAAAGCTGTATGCCATAAACCGTATACCATCCCTGTTTCTTTATCACTGCTTCTGGCTTTGTCCCATGGATAAGTCATTGATGCTAATTAGATCAAATGTGTTAAGAACTAACATGTTTTGTAGTGTGAAATAAAAGGAGACAATGTTGGATGATTACGTCTGACACTCAAACTCCTCTGTTTGCCTTTCTCACAACCTTTTACTATTTCTACACCTGAATCTTCCAAAAACAGTACTTACACTAACCATTCAGAGAAGTGAGAACTCACATCGCTGTTTTTACTCACCTTAGAACATATTAATCAAGTTTGGCTTGACCTGATCTTATGAAATGTGAATAAATCTGGCATGGACTTTTCTTAAGGAAAATGTCCTTCCTTTCTTCTGCATTTGGGGGCTGTTTTGGAAATGGGGTGGAAGCTTTGCCCTCTGCTGTGCTAGCTGGATGTCTTCCATGTCAGCATAGCTTCACTGCTTCTTCTGCTTCACATTGACATAAGCACTATCACGATGAGTGTGGCTGGGCAGGGACAGAGGGCACAAATACCGCCTGAGCCAGGTCGCAAAGGCTGTCACTGCAGTAAAGTCAATTTGTTCCTGTGAATGTTTAGATGTACTTGCAACAGAAGGCATCTGACCATTTCAGCATGTAGTACTTTAGAATTTGGGGAATGCCTTTGCAATGCTGTATTACCTGAGTTTCTCCATATGATCCTGGAGGGGCCAAAAAATACTCAGAGGGCTGGAACCCTTCTGCTCTGAGGACAGGCTGGGTTAGCTGGCGGGGTTCAGCCTACAGAAGAGAAGTCTCCAGTGAGACCTTCTTGCAGCCTGCCAGGACTTAAAAGGGAGCTTAGGAGAAAGATGGGGACAGACTTTTTAGCAGGGCCTGTAGCAATAGGACAAGGGGTAATGGCTTTAAACTAAAAGAGGGCAGATTTAGACTAGGTATAAGGAAGAAATTTTTCACACTGAGGGTGGTGAAACCCTGGCCCAGGTTGCCCAGAGAGGTGGTAGATGCCCCATCCCTGGAAACATCCCAAGTCAGGTTGAACGGGGCTCTGAGCAACCTGATCGAGTTGCAGATGTCCCTGCTCACTGCAGGGGGGTTAGACTAGATGGCCTTGAAAGGTCCCTTCCCACCTAAACCATTCTATGATTCTATGACTTTCTCTACTTTAGTGTTTTTTTTTAATCTGACTGATAGTAGGATGAGGGGAATTATTCAAACATTCTGTCTGGTAGAAAAGGACCTGAGGGTGCTGGTTGACAGCCAGCTGAACATGAGCTGGCAGTGGGTGAGGGTGGCCAAGAAGGCCAACGGCATCCTGGCCTGTATCAGGAATAGTGTGGCCAGCAGGAGCAGGGCAGTGATTGTCCCCCTGTACTCTGCACTGGTGCGGCCGCACCTGGAATCCTGTATTCAGTTTTGGGCCCCTCCCTACAAGAAGGATGTTGAGGTGCTGGAGTGTGTCCAGAGAAGGGCAACGAAGCTGGTGAGGGGTCTGGAGCACAAGTCTGATGAGGAGCGGCTGAGGGAACTGGGGTGGTTCAGTCTGGAGAAGAGGAGGCTGAGGGGAGACCTCATTGCTCCCTACAACTACCTGAAAGGTAGTGAGAGGTTGTGGTGAGATGGATGTTGGTCTCTTCTCCCAAGTAGGAAGTGATAGAACAAGAGGAAATGGCCTCAAGTTGTGCCAGGGGAGGTTTAGACTGGATATTAGGAAGAATTTCTTTAGTGAGAGAGTGGTCAAGTACTGGAACAGGCTGCCCAGGGAGATGGTGTAGTCATCTCCATCACTGGAAGCGTTCAAAAAATGTGTATACGTGGCACTTCGGGATGTGGTTTAGTGGGCATGGTGGTGTTGGGTTGATGGTTGGACTTGATGATCTTAGAGGTCTTTTCCAACATTAATGATTTTAAGATTCTGTGATTTGCATTGTATTTCTTTAGAGAGTGAATTACTTCAACGCTGTTGTTTGTAGGTACTGGAAAAACTTTGCTTGCTAAGGCTGTTGCCACAGAATGCAATACAACCTTTTTCAACATATCAGCATCCACCATTGTCAGCAAATGGAGGGGTGATTCAGAAAAACTTGTCCGGGTAAGAATTATTATCTTATTTGTTATACTTTAAGGAACATCAGGTTCCCACTTAAAGAACTGGGAGTTAACTGGAGTTAAACAGAGAAGTGGGAAGTGAGTATTCCTCTGATACTCATAATCTTTCCCATCTTGGACAAAACGTGTAACTCTGTATCTAGTTCTTAAAATAGGAATAACATCAGTTCTGCAGAAGCCTCACAATGGATTCTTGCTGTGGAATTTTAGTTCTCTAATGTAAGATGAAGCAGACGTCCTGAAGGCAGCAAAGATTTTCGACTCGCTGAATAAGAGACAGGCAAGCAGAGTTCCTAACTAAAAAAGCTGTTTGCTTAGTGGTGCCTTCAAAGCGCTTCATATCCTTTCTGCAAGGCTCAGCTCTTAGGCTCCCTACAATATGTTACTTAGATTCCCAATTTCCCTACTATTCTTAATCTTCAGGGCACAGAATTGGCAAAGAATTCCCTTGTCACAAAGATCTTGCAGCCGAACACAGATGTAATGTTGTTTTAAGGAAGGTAGTTTGGTAAATGGCTAAATGTATTTTTGCATATAGACTAGCAAGTAGCATGCATGGCTTAACTGTGGTACAAAAAAATTCAGGGATTCAGGTGTAGCGTCCTTGCCCTAAGGTGCCCATCCTAATCGCTCCATAACATCCACCATTTCAGTGTCAGAAATCCACAAGCTCTTAGCTTTCCTTTACGCTCACCTCTTTGGTTACGCTTCAGATAGATACAGAGCTCTTGAAAATGAATAATCATAACAGATTGCACTTGGCGAATGGCATTACAAGCATCGTTAATCTCTCTTGAAATTTAGCCTATGTCTACAACATAATTATTCTTCATGTGTTCTTTGTCCTTTAAAATGGCACACTTTTCTTCTGACATTCACCTCCTATGTTACTGATCCTCTTGACGTCTGTCTCTGTAGCTTCCTAGGAGTTTCCCTTCTGGCAGGAGAAGGGATAGGACAGTCTGTTTTTTGACACCACTACCCAAAAGAGTTTTTGTGAACATGCTGCAGCATTTGCAATGATACTGAATTTGTGGCATTTCACCCTTAGTTGAGTTTTTGGCAGAACCCAGAAATGAAATAAGATTGTGGATTGCGACAACTCTAAGATAAGTATTGTGTGAATTTATATCCTAAAATGACATGAGGCTGGTGCAGGAGTTTTCTGAAGTTGTGTGAAATATATGTGGGTGTTGTGCTTATTTGGAGGAATGTCCACTCATCCTGTTTTCCTCAGTTCTCAGCTGTATTGGTGTCATTTTGTATTTTTCATTTGTAGTAAAATTGTAGAATGCAAACTGTCAGTACCTTATGCATGAGCGCAGTGGTAGCAGATGTATGAGCAGAACTGATACGGCATTCAATTTTTGTTTCAACCATCTTGGAAAAGCCACACCTGTGGCAAGAGTATTATATAATCCAGTGTTCTACTTAATTGCAAACTTTTGCTTCCTTAAGCAGTACTAATTACAACGCTGGTCGTGGACTACTTGTGACTCTGGGCAAATAATTTGATCCCTGTGTTTCATACCCAATATATAGAATAATAATATATATTTTTAAAAAAATTATTTTAAGTGTTCAGATTAAAAAGTGCTGGATTAATATATATTGTTAGTGATATTTATTTAAAAACTCAAAGAACACTTCACTGAGGAAGAACCGACAGCATGTTCTTACTGCTAATATAAGCCTCTCCATGTTTACAGAAAAATAGATGAAACTTCTTTCTCAAAAGGACAGACCCAGATTTTATGTCAGCTTAATAGTCCATGTTTTAATCTTGATTGTTTAAGCAGTTTATGTTTGTTTTCACCAGGAAAAACAAAATAACTGCTTGATTCTTATCAAGAGAATCTGTCCATTTTCTTTCATTATGGTTCAGCTGACTTTTAATATTTTTTTCCCTTCAAATCCTTATTTAAAAAACTGCAAATGGAGCAACAACAAGACGGATGTTTAATCTCTGATAACAATTTAAGAGTTCCCAGAATCCTCTGATGGATCATTTTCTTCTATCCCATTATTCGCAGGGTACTCTGATAGGATTTAGCCAGAAAGATTTACATATAAAGACAGGATTACAAGCCTGTGTTCTTTGTATCTCTTTTACAAACCCTTCAGAATTTGAGAGGATTCAGGGACCCTCGGCCTATCCAGAGCTTTCTCCCAGCAGATAGCTCTTTTTGTCCTGGAAGTTTTAGAATGTGGCTGCTGTTATTTATCTTCTGTGCCAGTGGCCCTTAGTGCTTTTTTGTGTTAGTTTTCATGTTAATCTTTTCTATCACCTTTACTCTTCTTTGTAAACAGGTGTTATTTGAGCTTGCCCGGTACCATGCTCCTTCCACAATTTTCTTGGATGAGCTGGAGTCAGTTATGAGTCAGAGAGGCACTGCTTCTGGGTAACTGATGAGACCACTTCCTACGGCTTTAGGAGAATATTTGTCCCCCTTTTACTGCATCTTTTCAATAGTGTGTGTGTTCAGGTGCTGATTGATCTTTAATCATGCAGTCTATGTGTTAGAAACCAATCTTAGCTAAACTAAAGCTTGAGGCTACTCTATAAAACTTCAGCAGCAGCATGACTGGACCCCTGAAAGACTTGTCTTATAGATTTTATTGACATTATAATTACTTTGAGTGATAACGGTAATTTTCATGACTTTTTTTATTAAGGTGGGGGTTTTTTTTGTATTCTTTTGTCCACTTCAGGAGCCTCACAGCGTGTTCCTGGCAGAATGCCTAGCAGCTCCAAAAGTATCGCTTCACGCAAGCTTTGCATACGCTGCAGGGCTTTAAAGAGTGAGACGTAGCGGTTGTTTCATTCACAGTAGATGAGATCAGTAGAGAAGCAAGCATGAAGGACAGGTTGTGTGAGGATTAGCAAGGGACTATGGGTCCAGCAAGACTGAGAAGGAAGGAGGTGCAAGAGTGTACAACCAATGGTGCTGTATTTCAAAATGAGGGATTTGAAGTGGAAAGAAAGGCTGTGGAGGGGGGAAACAACAGATGACTTGTTAGAGGCAAGTAAGAAGCAGCTGATTTTGTGACACTTTAGACAGGCTTAGGCATAGCAGGGTAAGAAGGACGTGTGGAAAGGTACATGGTGGAATGGCATTTTCATTAATGGGAGAGATTTTGGTGCCATTGTCAGGACTTCCAGATGCAGGAGTGGGAGGATGTTATTATTGTCATTCCATGGTGTAGACATTTTATAGTTAAAAACACATTGAAAAGGTTAGGGAAGAGGCAGAAGCGGGAGAAATATAATTTATAAAATATAATATATATAAAAATATAAAAATTATAACCATTAGGAGCCCATTACAGTGGGGTTTATGTACTGTAAATTATATGCTCAGAAAGGTGCATAAATAGAATATGCCATATCGTAAAGATACAACCTGTAATAATTGTCAGTTAATAGCTATAAATTATGGGCCAAATCTTGCCTTAATATATATTTTTAAAAGCTCTCATTAGCATCACTGGATTATATATTTTAATAAGGATTTTAATCTAGGATTATGTCATTATTTTTACATAGCCTTATTAAATATTGACATAGCACCGATGTGTGGATGCCTTTGCAGAAATAAGCCGTTAAACCTGAATTGTAGCTCTTGCCATCTAAGGCCCTGATGTTTTCTATGGGTTTGATCCAGGAGTTTCCAAGAACTCCACATCTGGGACCAAGAGTTCAAATTGGTTTCCTGCAAAATTGGTTTCCTGCAAAATTGGTTACCTGGATCAGGGCCAGAATTGTTAGGACTTTGCTTAAGTTCCTCTTCTCTTTTGGAAGAAGGATCCTTTCTCTGTGGTCTCTGTCCCATTTTTAAATTCATTTCGATATGACATATTTTTGTGTTTGCTTTTGATAGAACATTTTGCAAAATATCGAATTCAGTAGTAGGTGTATCTTCTTGTGGCCACTTAACATTCACTCACAGAAAAATGCTAGCAGTCGCCCAGAATAGGTGGGTGTGTTAGTTATTTAATGGCAACTATCGCAATAAAAATTCTCTTATATAGATCAATCAATCAAAGCCTTAGCTGTTTTCCAGTAAACGTCAACATTGCATGGAGATTAATATGTGGAAAAAAATAAAAACAAGTATTTTCTTGGGATTCAGTAATAGTAAATTCTCCTCACTTTAATGCACTGAAAGGAGTCCATTTAAGTAATCATTAGAAAGCTTGATTTTAATGCTTAGATGTTAGCTAATGGAGCTTAATCATGCTTTGAACTGGGGCGAAACTGTGACAAGGGCTCATTTGCTGTGAATGACACTGTATAAATAAAGATGATTACTTTAATGCACTGAGCAAATAATATTTCTCTGAATCTTGGTAGTGGTGAACATGAAGGAAGTCGGCGGATGAAAACAGAATTACTGGTGCAGATGGATGGCTTGGCCCGATCTGATGATCTTGTATTTGTTTTAGCAGCTTCCAATCTGCCATGGTAAGAGATCCAGAGAGTACATTTTGAATACATTTGCATGAGCTTCTAAGCACAGATAAAGATTTTATTTAGACTTTTGCAGAAAAGCCTTGATATTTGGTTAAAGCATTTAAAGATTAATTTGGAGCTTTTACTTTTAAAGTCTACAATTCTTGCTATTTGTGCCACATGAGAATAATCCATAATAAAGTCAACATATGCTGGTACTACCAGCTGCTAATATTTAAAATGGAGTATTTGACTTTACGGGCAAGTTATTTACTATGTTTAAGCTAAGAAGGGTTTCGGCCTGGAACTGTAAGGTGCTTAAAACATCTAGTGCTTAGAAGGATACTCCATAAATAGGAATGTTGGATTTTATTGGTATCAGACGTGACTTTTAAAAGTGGAGGGACAAAATTCTGCAGTTTCTTTAATGTAATTTACAATAGAAGAATAAACAGTTTAAGACTGGAACTAGGGCACTTCATCATCTTGGTTCTCAAAATGGGCGGGACATGTATGGAGAACAAGACAGACGGGAGAGGATGAGGTAGGGAGGTAACGTTTCTAGTGTGACAACCGCAGATGCTGGGGGGACTCCGATGGGCACTGGAAAACAGCCAGCTCGTGCATTCCTTGAATACCATCTCCCATGGCCGCTGTCAGAGCCAGCATGTTGATCTAGCTTGATCATTCATCTGAACTAGCGTAGCATATCTTTTTCTTTCATATAAAACATTATCAGATGGTTGCAAATGATATATGGAGAAGACAACAGGTTTGGTTAAGCACAGCTATTTTTAACAGTCCAATTTGTAGCTCACTGATCATTTCCCGGAGTAGAAGCCAAACACCTCTACAGGGAATTGAAGCATGCTGATGGTGGGCTTGTTTTTGAAGTTAGTTTTCACAGGTCTTGAACTAGTCTCTGGATTTCTGCCTGCCTCGAGATTCCCCCTGTCCCTGGGCTACCGACCCATGAAATCTTCAGCAGAACATCTTTTCCTGCTGAGAAATCCGTGTGCTGAAAGCAGAGAGGGGAACCTCAGCAAAGTAAACTGTGGAAATTATCTGGAGCCCAATGGCAGGTGTTCACAGGAACGACCTTGTGCGAGCAGTGGCTCAGCAGCATTTCAAGGGATGTTACTTGAAATTTGACTGAAAGGCACGTTGCTCATCGACGTGACGCTCGCCCAACTCCACAGTGTGACAGCCACAGAGCAGGGTGGCCAAAACCCGCTGGGAGCAAGAGAGGACTCTACCCACAAAACCATAGGCTTCAGTCCTGGATTGTTTTTCACAATTAGTGATTTTTGGCCGATTCTCATGAGGTTGCCACAGGGAGACATGTTGGAAAAGCCTCTCTGTGTGACTGGAGGGCTCTGGGCTGTGATCAGTGGGCTGTTACTGGCCATAGGGAGTGTCTGAGTCTGAAGGACACCATGTGTGTATCCACAACTGCTTGCTTTTAAGTACTTATAAAAAAGCCTCAACTCCTAGTGCATATTTTATTTTGTATAATGTAAAAATGCACTTCTCAGACATGACACACCACCTAATGTTCTCTTGCAAAGTTTGTGGTAATGCTTTATTTCTCTCCTCAGCTGACCCCCTTTTTGGCAGGCCTGGCTGAAAGGCCAAGGGAACAGGCAAGGAGAATTAAGCAACAGAAGTGATGTTGGTGCCTCAGAATTGAGGCTCAAAGTTAGTATTTTCAGTCAGTACCGTGTGGCTTGTAAGCCTGGCCCGTTTCAAAACATGTTGGTGCTGAGAAGCCCGAGTCCTTCAGAGATGCAGGAGATTGTGGGTCCCCAAGTCTCCATGGCTCTGTGGACAGCTCTGCCATACAGTATTTCCTGCATGATGAACAAAAGGGTGTTTTAGCCCAGTCCATCATCTTTCGTGAACTTTGTGGGCAGTGTTCACATCATATAATTTTGGCACCTAAGGTAGAAGGCAAGTTTCCCTTGCTATGAGACAGTCAACAGCAAAACAACAGATGCAGCAACTCAGAGCAATTGAGACACCCACACAGGGGTCGGTGCTGTTTAGCATCGTCATTGATGAGTTGGACGATGGGACGGAGTGCACCCTCAGCAAGTCTGCAGATACACAAAACTGGGAGGAGCAGTTGATAGAAGGTCATGCTGCCATTCCAAGGAACCTCTACCAGCTGGAGGAATGAGCCCACAGGAATCTCGGGAAAGCTCCAAGTGCAGGTGATCAAACATTGGCACAGGTTGCTCAGGGGGATTGTGGAGTCTGTCCTTGGAGATGCTCAAAACCTGACTGGATATGGCCCTGAGCAACCTGCTCTGGCTGACCCTGATTTGAACAGGGGGTTGGATTAAATGGTCTCAAAGAGATGCCTTACAACCTCAGCCATTCTGTGATGCTGTAAATCAAAGAAGGGGCCTAATCTCGGTACTGTGAGAGTAATTCGAAGTATTTATCTCTTCTGAATGTAAAAAAGCCCAAGGGGAGTTCTCTTTTAAGTTAGGCATAGTTACTGCTTAAAAACAGGCAGTGTGTTACCCCTCAGTATCCCTCATTAAAATCAGATAAATCAAAATAAATACCTAAGAAGTCACTTGAGACTTACACAGTTCTCTGATGTAAAGGCTGGAGTTTCTGTCCACCACAGGAAGAGATCCAATCTGCCTCCTTCTACAAGCCTGTCTTTCCCTCTACATTTTATTTCCTAATGCAAAACCGTATGTTTCTCATCCAGTCAAGGAAGGATGGTTCTGAGAGCCACCAGGCAGACATCTTGCCTGCTGAAATTCAAGTGCCAAAGAAGCTTTCATCTGCCTCTCTCTATGGCCTGCTTCAAGCTCTTTAACTAGGAGAATGGCTATGTGGGCACCTAAAATTTACGTAGAAATTACATGTACGAGTTAGACTAGTTCGTATCCTGGCCCAACAGTGTGAGTACAAAGCCATCGCTGGCTTTTGTAGCCATAATAGTGGAGTCTGTGTGTTGGTTTGGGGGATGTATGCCTTGGAAAAACTCATGAATTTAAATCAGTACAAAATCCACCCCATTTTGTATTACAGTATCTACGTGAAAGGAACTGAACAGAATTTAATTATGTTCCAGTTGTGTAAGAAAATGCTGAAAAATAAATAGCTACTGTGTGTGTGAACAGTTACATTTGAAAGAGAATTAATACTTTAATAACCCATTCATCTCTTTATAGTTCATTAGTAATATAAAATAAATGCTTACGTTATTGTAGCATCATTACCCTTTTGGAAAGAGAAACTCTGAGCAATGCATTGCACCTTTCCGTGGTCTCTTAAATTACCTTGTGAGTAGCTAAGCTTCACATGGAATGCTGCAGCATGGCAGTATTAAAAGGGATCGGATGTCTTTAGAGGATCCATGTCTTTCTACTCTTGTACGCCAGCTTGAAACGGAAAATTGGGTACTTGAAACCCACTGAGGAAGAGTTCAGAGATAGCAACTGGTCTGAAGGTCGCCGTCTGGCTGGTGCGGGATCTCAGGACCTTGGAGATGTGTTAATGTATGCATGAGGCTGGCCTTTCTCTGGATGCTTCTGCAGAAAAGAGATGCCTGCATGTGTCTCGTTAACATGTGTCTGCCTTATGCAACCGATAAACTTTTTCTGGAAAGTCATGCAAAAACTACAGAATAGAGTTTTGAGTGTTTTACACATTGGATTTTGGACCATTTTGCAATGCTGACGTGCTAATTTCTGCAAAATTGCTTCTGTGAAACATCAAAAAAATGACATGGCTTTTTTTAAGGTAGGTCCAAAATGACAAAACTTCTGTTTTGGGGGAACTGCTCCCACACAAAGCTGACAATCTGTGTTGGTACGAGGGTGACAGCTGAGACATTGTGAGAAGCCAGCTCTCACTTTTGAAAGTTTTGTACCTGAGGGCTTAGAATTTCCCTTTGGATTTTCTCAACATTGCTCATGGGCAGGTCAGCTTTTGCCCTCTCTTAAGCAAGTCCAGCCTATGAGCGTAATGACTAGGTTGTCTGCCAGAAATGTGCCTCCTGTGGAGAACGTGCTTTAAGATGTGGCTGAGGATATGCTTAGAAAGATGTTTTAGCAGGTTGGAAAGCTCGTGAAAGCCATGAGCATCTCACATGGTCATTGAGACTCACAGCCTCGAGGAATTTGGGAGTGTGTGCTTTGAACACCCTTTAAGATCTCAACTGTATGTTTACAGCTTATTTTTATGTGTATTAGGCAAGGTTCAGTTTAAGACCCAGACTGCAGCTGCACAGGGATGTTTCATAACAAAGTTTCAAATTACCTAGTACTACAGTCCGAGGCTGTGGCTTCACAGCACAGCCCTTTGTTCTTGCAAACGTTTGGTATTAAAAGCTGGATTTCAAGAGATTTGTTTAACTTGGATATTTATTGATCACAAAAAAAAAATTAGTACCAAGATGCTTTTAGATCAATGAAAAGAAGCCTAAACTGAGCTCTTTGCGCTGTCCTGAGCTGCATTGCAGCTATTGATCTTCCTCTTCAGCTAGTGCTTGCTGCCCAGCCTTGCTTCCTGCGACTCATCAGCAAGGCACTTTCTATTGACAAATTACTTGTTGAAATGATTCAACAGAATTAAATAAAAGAAAGGCCTCGTTAGTGAAGAAATAAAGTGATCCTTAACCACGTAGTGAATGTTTCCTAATGTATTAGTGTATTTAATTCGACTTCCATTGCAGTGCTGCTTTCTTCTCCCTCCCCAGCCTCAGGGTGGGTGAAGGTTTGGTGCAGGCTGATAGACTCTTCCCTCTGTCCAAGTTCACTTCTGTTGGAGCTGTGAGCACATGGCCAAGATGAGCTCTAGGAGAGGTGGGTTGTGAAAGCCAAATCACATCTGGGATCACGTTGTAGTGAGCCCTTTCCTTCGCTCTCAGTAGTGCACGGTGTGTACGGTGGAGGAGAGCAAGGAAGGAGAGCGGAGGAGGACGATGCGGGGAAGCCCTAAGAGGAGCAGGAGAAGACATGGAGTGAGAACAAGCCCTCAGCTTGCAGCGGCTCTGCCCAGGCCGTCTGCACAGAAGGATGGGAGGTGGGGAGGATGAGCAGCTCACTCTTTCTTGGTGCCTTTTCCTCCAGAGCACTACAGTGATGATGGCACTAGGCAGGGATTAATTACAGACCAGTCAGCCCTTGTTGCTGTTTCTGGGTTCACCTCTGGAGTTGTTGAGGTCTTTTTTCTCTCTAAAACGCATTTGTTACCCTTATTCCTTCTGGAAATGAAAATAGGTGTTTGTCTTATTTTTGTGAAATTTGGGAGTGATAACATGGCATGATGCCTTGTGACGTCAACCTGGAGATCTACAAAAAGTCACCCTCTTTCATAGGTCCAGCTTTGTGTATCTTTTCAGGAGCATTTCTTAATACTTTTATTGGCTATTGTTTCAGAGAAAATTTTGGTTGGCTCAGTGCTTATTATTCTATTCTGGTTAATGTCACTTAACTTTGCATTTGATCACTAACAAAACAATTTAGCAAATGACCTAAACGCTTAAGATAACAAAAAATATTATGTCTTTATTTTCCTCTTTAGCCAACAAGCAGGGTCACTGTAACCTTTCTGGATAAACAGAGCAACTTCTGTGTATGAAGGGACTTATTTACAGGACATGGCTTAGGGAGCTGCTGAAACTGTGATCTTGGGGGACACCCCAGGAGTGCTCTGAAGCAGGAGGAGTGATGGAAAATGTCTTCATTTAGAGGATTTGTAGGGTATTTGCAGAGACTCTGGCTGTGATTGTCCTTTGCCTGCAAGGGCGGTTTAGAGTACCTGCATGGGTACCTCTAAAACCCCGAGAACTTTTGCCTTGTTTATGTGGAGGATGGTAATAAGCATAAATAAGAGCCAAGGGGTTGGACAGCCAGAGATTAATTACTTCCAGCCAAGCAAAACAATTTTGAGAAGTTGAGCTGAAAAATACATTTGGAAGGAGAGTGGGGACTAAAATGGTTCTTTGTCAGTTCTGGGTGAGATCCTGTGAGAGAGGCATTGCACTGAATGTTGGACAACATCTTAAAGAGCCTAAAAATATCAATAATAATATCAGTATACTAACAGCAATTGATGAGCAAACTCTGGTATTTACTTCGGAGGCCTTGACTAGAAGTACCAGGATGGATCTGAGGGAATTCCTGTTGTCCTCAGAGTTCCTATTGATCTGGTTTTCTAATCTTTGCTTTCATTGCCCTTGGCTCGGCGCACATGGGACAAGCTCTCCCAAACCAAGAGGTCCTTTCTCGGGGGAGAGGTGCTTCTGCTCCCACTGAGCCAGGCATGGCTGAGGTCTGTGGAAGAAACCTCAACAGGTACCTTTATGGGGATTTGGAAGCCCATTTTTTGTTTTCTTCATCCTGTGTTACGCCAGTAGGAAATGTTTGCTATTAAAATAAAGGACAAGTTGCCAAAGGTGACAGAAATAAGCTCTGCTGGTGTGCTACCGGTCTATCCTGAGCTGGCAGTTTGAGTTCTCTGTAAATTAAAGAGGGGTTTCATAGAAGAAGCGTTACTTGAATGTTGACTTGGCTGGCAAAAGGATTTCACTCAGGGCATCGGGAGTGGTAGAGGCAGGTTTATTTAAGTCTATCTATGGTCCCAGATTGCAGGCAGACTCCTCCAACAGCTGGCTCCTCCTGCTCAGCCGACAAGGGCGGAGCGGTGCTTAGGGCTCCTGTTTTTCTGTCTGCGCAAGACACGCTGAAGTGTGTTTCCCCTTGATGAGAGTTTCTTGGCAGGTACGAGGACTGAATTACATTTTAAACTCAAATAACAAGTCTGTGACTGAATGGAGTCAGCAGAGAAATACTGATACAGCACTTGGAAGGATAATAGCTCAGAGCAGCTCCTGGAAAACACTGGAGACTTATGAATGAGTAAATATTTTGTAGCAGCTCCTTCTTCTTGAAAATTGTATGGGTGACTGGGGTACCTCTAGACTGTTCCCATAACACAAGTAACAAGGGATGAACCGGAGTAGGAATTTGTATTCAGTTGTTTGGTTGCATTACTGTTGGATGCAAACAACTGAAAAGCACTTGGGAGAAAAAACTAGATTAAAATGAACTGTTTGGATGTGTGTCCGAGAAGAGCTGGTGTGTCGGGCATACCAGGACTCCTGACACTTGACAGAATCAGTGGCACTGGCAAGAAGGACTATTTCTAGATGGTGATGAAGTGCATTGAGAAAGGAACAGAAAGAAACATTCATCTTTCTTTCAAGAAACATTTCACTTTCTTTTACTTGCTTTGTTCACCACAAGCAAGTAAAAATGAAGAGAAGTCCCAATCTTTTGTGTTTTACTTTTTTCTTGTGGTTTTGGGGTTTGTTTTTTTTTTTTGGTAAAACACCTTTATCAGTACTGATGTTGACAGCCTCATGGTTTTTGGCTCACTGACACATTTATCCAGCCTGTCCATCCTTCACATGATCCTTTTCATAAGGGTATTTTCCTTTGTAGCTGTATTATTTATCATTTGGATTGCAGTAGCGGTCTTAGACCGATGTCTTGTTCTGCCATCAACATGGCCCTTGTTGACCTTCAGTCTGTATTTTACACCTACTAAGCATCCCTTACCAAGTAGCAATTAATTAGTCTTGACAGTGCCCCAGACTGACAATTTGCTGTGTTGTCTTAATAGCAAAGGAAGGGGAGAGGTGGTTAGTGCTGAGACATGCTGCAGATGAGCACCAGAGCCAGGGAAGATAACTACAACTTCTGATTGTTATTGTTAAACCTCATTGGCACAAGCCAGCGTATTGCTAACATACTGAACAGGAATACACTGGATATGGATAATTAATTTTTTTTTTCCCAAAAAAAAACTAGATTGACACAGTTACAGGCGGGGTTCAAAAATGTCAGTCCTTGCAGCAAGGAGCTTGCTGTCAAAGCCACGTCTCCCCAGTGAGATGCACCGAGACGACTGCTCTCCTCCTTTACTTGCAGGGAGCTAGATTCTGCCATGCTGCGGCGGTTGGAGAAGAGGATTTTGGTCGACCTCCCAAGTAAAGAGGCACGGCGGGTGATGATCCAGCACTGGCTGCCCCCTCTGAGCAACAGCGGAGGAGTGGAGCTGAGAACGGATCTGGACTACGGCTTGCTGGGCCAGGTGAGACAACGCTGCAGCAGGAGCTTGAAGTCTTCCAGGGTGGGAACCGTAAGCAAGAGTGACATACATCACCGACAGCAGGGGCATTCTGTTGTGGCTGAACAGGTCCGACGCAGAGGGTTGGGACAGCACCTCTGTATACAGCAACTGTGACACACAGAGCTGGGGGAAGGACCTCGGCTTGGTTCGAGGCTGCAGCCAAAGGGAAACCAGTGAGCTGCAGGGCTGAGCATTTCGCAGGCGCAGAAATAGCACAGCTCTGCTTGCAAAATGGTGTATTCTGCTCCTCTCTGTTGGGCCAACTTTTCAGCCTTAAATACAGGCAGTCTTCCAGCAACAGTATATTTTATCACTCTTCTCACCAGGCTGGGAGCACTCCCAATTCATCAGGGTAATGAACAGTTAATTGTAAGGTTTGTCACAGCTCCACGGCTGCAGGAGAAGAGAGTGTTTAGACAGTGAAGAGATTCACAAGATACCCAGGCTTTCTTCAGTTAGCCCTTTGTCACATCCTAAATTCTTTGAAAACATCTTGCAGCTTACCCAGCTGGCCCTTTTTACGTCTATTCACAGAGACAGTACTGCTCCTTTTTTATTTCCTAAATGTGAATTAAGAAATATAGCAATTTTATCAACAGGGAAACTGGGAGCAGACACAGAAAGGTGGGGTTTATTTGACCTACAGAAAATTACCCAGTATTTTCCTTGCTTCTACAAGGTATTGTGGCCATTCAAAATAAGAATAAGCAACATAACGTAAAAATATGTGTGTGTATGTATATTCACATATAAATCTATTTCAGACAGGAACAGAGTTTTCAAATATTTTATATAAATATATATGCTTGTAAATGCCATTCCTGTCTGATTTGTAAGCTTGTAAACTGTGATGTCTTGCTCTGATCCCATCACAGGAAACAGATGGGTACTCCGGTTCAGACATTAAACTCGTCTGCAAGGAAGCAGCTATGAGACCAGTGAGGAAAATTTTCGATGCTCTTGAAAATCATCAGCCAGGTACCAGGGCTCGGAGTAGGGAATCCCATCTGGGAAATGCTGATCTATAGAAATTATAACGTTAACCCCAGCAGGTGGAGCTCTGCTTAGAAAAGTTTTAAACTGGCTATTTCTAAAACGTCTACCTAAGCTAACATTTCTGAAAACGAGGCCTTTTTTTTAAGCTGTCAGTATCTGTGTTCTGTGCACAAATATGAGTTTTTCTTTATCTCACTAGGTTTATTTTTTTGGTTTTGTATAGTAAGTGCATTAGGCAGGGACAAAAAATAATATATTTTGGTAATAATAACGGTATTTAATCAATTCTCTGTAGGTAACAGTAACTTACCTGTGATCCGATTGGACACAATCACAACAGCAGAGTTCCTGGATGTGATCGCCCACACCAAGCCATCAGCAAAGAATCTAAGCCAGAAGTACACAGCTTGGCAGAGAGAATTTGAGTCAGTTTGAAAAGAAAAAACCCAAAAGATGGAAAACTTCAAAGACTTTTGCTAGCCAAAATGGCATCTCCTTGCCTCCAAAGGAGCAAATGGCGATGGGGAAGGAAGTGCTGTTTGTTTCCAGAAAGAGAATGCAGTGAGAAATGTCAGAGGGAAATCTTCACTTTCCAGATTTAATGGGGGAGTTGTTTGGTTTTTATTAGCCATTTTCAGTGACCATTCAAAAACATTCTTCATGCAGTGACTGTAATAGCAGTTGCTATGTACTGACAACTCCAGCCTTAATTTTATGTATAAAGACTTAAAAGATTGCTTGCTTGTCAGTCTCTTTTCATGACAGTTGTTTACCGGTTTGGGGTAGAACTGGGGCAGAAAGCTTGTTAAGAAGAGTTAGATGATTAAGTGCAATTCTCCCTTTCTGAGCCTCACTAGAGCACCCCAGTCAGCATAGCTTTACCAGCAGAGACCTGCATCCTTCTTAATGAAACAGAAGTGACTGCTTTTAATGAAATTCAGGAGCTTAGTGGTGCCTTGTAAATTCAGTTACTTTGTCATCGTCTTCAGCTGAGATCAAAGCCTTGATGTGCCAAATGTATTGCTTTCCAGCTGGTTTGGGGTATTTCCAAGGTGGAAAAGGCAAGGAATTAGAGGAACTTGAAGATGTTGTAGAAAATCAGCAGATCTAAGCTAATCTGACGAGAAGGTGGAGTGGTGGTTACCCACTGGTTCGCAGCTAGCCATAAAATGCAAATAGCAAGTCTTTGCAGTCCAAAATACTAGCCAAGTTGGAGACTTTTCTGCTTATAAACCTGGCCAGGTAACCAGTCAGGACTGTCACATGTGCTTTAATCTTTTAATTAGAAATTCTAATCAGTCACGCTCTCGGGTCTCACAATTACCCTCCCTCTTGCTTGGCGAGACAGCCCCTCTGCAGTTCTGCCAGTGTTTTCCTTGCATGGACTCATGGGCGGCTGCTTTTCTAGATGGTCTTGCATGCTTTCCAGGACCTCTGAAGCACTGACAGTCTCTTTTTGTTCCAGCATCAGTCACCTTGCCAGAAGTCTTTATGGGAAATGTCTTCACAGGATTTTGGTTATAGATCTCTTGCCTCTTGAACCCAACTCTAAGGGCCAAAGACCTCCCTGACATACTCCAAGCAGAAACAAACTTGGGTTCAGAATTGTTGGGGTGAACACTAGATAGCTGAATTTATTCTAAAGTGTAGGTTACAATTTATGAGGGTACACAAACAGTGTCTAAAGATGGCTCTTGGTCCTGGGGGGGGTTATTGTTTCTTGTATTTCTACTGCAAAGTCATCTCTGTCCATGCATTCTGTCTTAGAGAAAGATGTAAGCTGAAGGTAGGTAACCACCCACCACGTGAGACTGCAGACAGATAATCTGGTCACAAACGAATGGGAAACTCTCCTTACATTGCGGTGATTTTTCTTAACAATGAATGAGCATGGCTCATTAACCCTATATAACTATATTTTCAATAAGATTAATCCTCCAGTAATGTATAATTACAACCTAATAATTTAACGCTCAGGAGCACTGTAAAACAACTGTAAAGGACTTTGATTATTACAGTTTGCAAATGGACCAGAAAAGCTATTTACTATCATTACAAAGTTGGTTCATATTGGGGATTTGGCGCACAGGAAAAGCATTGCGTTCTACAGAATTAAATTTCGTTTTCCAGCTCTACTAACCAACTGTGTAAAAAGTGGAATCTGTCCCCATGGCTCGTGTAGGATTTTTCCCGTAACATTAAAAAGAAACAAAAAACCCCCCAACAATAGTGAAATGTTGCAACTGTAGCATTAATAGGACCCTGCTGAAGTTTAATTTCAAAAAAATCACAATCTCTAAGGCATTTAATACCAGGTTTTTGTTTCTGCACCATTCTTTTTAATAACAGCATCTAATTAAAACATCTGTAAAATGCTGACAGTTTTAATTTTATGTAAAATTTGAAAAACAAAAACCAGGATCTGTTCTAAATGAGAGGAAAGATATCAACAGTAGTTCTTATTAAACAATGGTGATATTTTAATTTAAAAGTCGCTTCTAAATGTACATAATCTCTACCTTTAAATTAGAGCAGAGCTGTACTCAGTGAAATCACTACAGGCTGACTAAGGCTTTGTTCATCTTTGAGGTTTACCTGCTTGAGTACCTCTGGTGGGTTTTTCGGTTTAGCTTATTCAGCCGCAAAACGTGACAGTTTCCAACAGGGCTTTTCATCAGTTATTTCTTGAAAACTGAAAATAAAACAGAACTCTTTGCCACGCTCCCCATGTCATTCAGGAAGGCAGCTGTGCTGGTTGTAGCCTTTCTATCTCACTCGCTGAGCATTCGCGGTCCCTCACCACATCCTCGTGAAACTACTACAGGAAAGGGGCTGCGCCGTCACCGCGCCGGGGCCCACACCCATCCTCGCCCTTTCACAGCTCCAGCGGAAGGACCTCACGGCTAGGTTTCTGATGCAATGCATGCAATTGATCCTGTGACCTTAATTTTTGAAGCAAGAGTAAAAGGAAGTGATGTGAAACAGATGTCTCTTCGAACCAACTGTTCCCTTGCTCATAGCAGACGCCCTAGGATATGTTCCACTGCCTCTGGGAAATTCTCACAGGTTAAGTAAGGAGCTGGATTGATTTTGTCTTCGTCTGCCGGTCGGTATTTACCTGTAACAGAGTACCAAAAAGACAGATGTACCAAGCTCCTTTGGGTCTCCTTTTTTCCTCTGAAAGTTACAGCCTCCTTGGATCATTAACAACCAAACATGGCAGGAGGTTCATCTGAGTTCATCTGAGGTTCTCTTGCAACAAATAGCCCACCAGTCTTCCCTAAACAAGCACTGAGTCTTACTGAAGATTCCTCCGGGGTGGCTCTAGCTCAAAAGTAGTGTTACTTATTCACTGGTTTCACGCTACCGTACTGGCACTACTCTTTCACTGACTATTCCAATATTTGTGTTGTAGGTTCTTCAAATAATAATGTTATCTTCCCTGCTGGGTTTTATGAGGAAGAGTAGGATTACCTGCTTTCATTTTCAACATCATGGACCGGGTGGCATGAGCAGCTGCCACCTCAGAAAGACCTTACCCAGTCCATGGTACCATCAATAACATTGATAATACTTGTCAGTCCCTTAAGGTTTTGTCTGAAGCAAAATTACTTTTGTAACTACTAGGGAATGCCATCAGAGTTCCCAAATGATTAGAGGTTACTTTGGTATGACCGATTTTGGCAATCTAAGATGTCACAGTTAACAGTTCTCTCTATTCTTTGATGAGTGCTCAGGATTTTAGAGTCATTAGAGCAAAAAATTCACACCTACAAGATCAGCTGCCCCCATCTATTACTTCATACCAGTTTGGGGTCTGTGCTCTAGCCCTGCGGTTGAAATGTTGAACGTAGTCTATGGCCTCTCCTGACTTAATTGCAATCTATTGCTTGACAGGCTGCCACGCTGCAGCTGAGGAAAGGCATGTCCTGAATTCAGCCCAAAATGAACGGAGTGATGGACACGGGCTCTCCCAGCAGCCCCGTGGCAGGAATGGCGGGCTTTGACAAAGCACCAGGGCTAGACCCAGGGCGCGCCTTCGCTTTGGGCACAGGGGCTGCCAGTATCCAGGGCAAGGACACTGAATGTGCCACTGACTCCTGAAATGTCTCTATCGAGTACTCACCAGTCCTCACCAAAATCCCACGCATGCCTGCATTCTGGGCACCACCAACATCATCCCTGCAGTCCTGGGAGACAGCAGGAGATCCGCTGGTTAGTGGTCACAGACACAAATTGTGAACAAGTTTTTCATGACATTTTCTGCTTTGCACATCACTACCCAGCCATTTACTTGAAAGCAGCTATACCAAGTCAAATCCTATAGTGACCTATCAGAAAAGCTGTCAACAGAAATACTTTTACTATGTGCTTTTTGCCTGATCAAGTCATGAAATCCAATCATGCAGAAATAGGCGATTTTAGAAAGGACAAGAAAGACACAGCAAGGCACTTCGTATCAACAATTTCTTGCCCGTGCTCTGAGGTAAGACGGTTAGGCCTTCTCTAGAGCCCTCTGAAGTAAGAGAACTAACCCCAGAGACCACACATTAAATCCTGCAAGTTTTGACGGTTCGATTTTCACCCCTGGTTTAATCACAGCACTTTTAGAAAGATCAGTTGGTGGCATTTGGGAGGTCATACACACAGTGGAGATGAGCACTACATTAACTAGCGGGTGATAAGGTATTTGGTCCCCACGTACATCACCAATCATGACGGCCTCCTCTGGGGCACAGTCAGTCCCCCGCAGAGCTTCTAGGAAGAAGGTCTTCTCTGGCTTCCCCACCACCATCGCTTTGGTGTCCGTCGCATATTCCAGCCCAGCTACAAAAGGTCCAGGTCCCAGAGCCAAGCCATCTTTTTTCTTGAAATATCTGGCTTTATGTATAGCTATAAGAGGAGCACCATCCAAAATCAACCTAAAGAATGAATGAAGATGAAAGTACAAAAATTAGATTAAAGAAATGATATTTACAGCTGAAGGCCTGAACTGGCTTTCGTTTAAGCTGATGAGAAAACTCCCACTGACTTGCATGAAGCCCCAAATTATAGGGGAGTTGTACGCTCCTTGGAGGACACCTGCTCCTTCCCACGTGCTTGCAGAGCAGCCTGGGTACTCTGAGCAGTACATAAATTATAATATTTCATTTCACTTAATTATCACAGAACACCTCTATCAAATCAACATGTTCCAAGGCAAGCTCAACAAGAAGAGAGCTGGCATGTGTGTCTGTGAGCAGCCAGGTATGTTCACGATGGGAGGATGCCTCTAGGACACAGAAAAATGTAATTTGACAGCAGCACCACAGCAGGAAAGATCTCACCTGAGAGAATTCTTTTAAATGTGGCATCAAAATCCCATGTATACAAAAGGAAAAATTGAGTCTCCGTCATTTCAAATGGCGCCTAGAGAATGGCCTTACTTTGTGCAGCTCGGTTTGGGACTCATATCAGGTTAGATTTACCTAGCCTAATGTTGGATATCAACCAAGTAATTGGTTGATTATCAGGATATCAACCTGCCTACCAGGTAATTAGTCAGCCTGGGCTCTTCACAGTCAGTGGAGAGGAAAAAGCACTTCTAGGGCACAGTTCAACTGTCCTATTTTAAGCACTACTAGGGGAAAAAAGGAACCACGCCTTACAATTGCCTCCTCTCTCCCTCAGGAGCCCAGGTCACCAGCTCAGATGATACAAGCATCGGCACTGTAGATAGATACCTGCATTTAATCAGATTCACCTTAAAGTCTTGCTATGAGCAATACAAATCCCAAGTGACTTAATTACCTGAGCAGTAAAGGACAAGGAATAAAATCATGGCATAAGGCTGGAGAAGAAAAGAATGTGGCCAGTAGTTAGTATTTTCATTAGACCAAACAAAACTGACACCAGCAGAACACTTTACCCTCAATAGGGGAGAAAACCCCAGAACAAGTCAGTGAGATGTTAAAAGCTCAGAGCCCATCCTAGGGCCTCTCTCTGTCCAGCCTGAAACACAGCACCAGGAAAACACCAGGCAAATCCAGGACAGATTCACAGAGGATGAAATCTTCCTCCAGGCAGAAAAGGCAGCCGAGCGGCTGGGAATGCGTCTGTCGCAAGGCAAGGTGAGCTGAAGGACTCAGCCTTGCTCAATACGCAGCTGTACCACCCAGACAGCCCTGGATATAGGATGTCCAGGCAGCATGGACTCCGTGCTACCCTGTTGAGTACCATGTCTCTCTCTGGCAGCAAGGATATGCTCTGCCCACTGCAGGGGACGAAATTTGGCCTTCAGCACCTTCCTTCCATCACTAGAGCAAGGGTCCAATTCTGTGTTTAATGCAAAAAAAGAACAAATCCAGCCTGACACAACCTTGCCCACCTCCAGTTCTGCAGGCTTTCCTGCGTGTGCTGGCCTGGGGAAGCCTGGGGCCTGCAGGGACTCTGAATGTGATGACTGGTTTCTTGTTTTCAGTGTCCAGGTCTCCAGCCCAAGGCAGCTAATGACTGTCATTCAACTTTTAATATATTCATGACAGAACTATCAATAAAGTGATGTAAGCACTGGAACACATGATGGGTTGTTCATGCAGTTGTGAAATTAAGAGCCCACTCATGAGCACACTGTAAAACTCTAAAATCAATGCCATGGGCAACATGCAGTAATGACGCTGCCAGAGAGTCAGTTTGGGTCAATACGTGTTCTTATGACACAGAACTGGCATGCAGATAAGGACAGTGTTGGCTTCCTACTACAAGGAACCTCTGTGAGATACTGGTGAGCAGTAATTGATGCTCCCTTTTTGGATTTAGTGGTTATAAAGACAGATTAAGGTGCTTAAGATCAGGTTTTTTTACAAATTTCCAGGTGAAAAATTGTGTGGTAGCCATCATCCTGTGAGCAAAGAGTGGAAAGGACTCATCACATGTATCGTAGCACAGCATGAAGTCAACCAGTGTTACCAGATGTCCTCTTTAGTTCTGAGATAGCACTGAAAGTTGGTTACCAGCTGCTCGCAGGCATTAGCATTCCCGCAGCTGGGATGGGCTGTGCAGACAGGTACTCCTCCTCTGTTACAAAGCTAGGCTGATCAGCTTGGCCTAAACCACCGCTGAAGGACAGCGGGCTCAGAGAGCTCCCAGCGAAAGGAAACGGAGGCACAGCAGGCTCTGCTGCGGTGCAGGGTAAGGGGCACGCTCAGAAGACCCTTCTCTGCGCATTTCACAACGGACAAAAGGCACATCACTAGGGCTAAACTCAGCAACAGGCTCACGTTCAAGCCTCTTCAAGCCAATGGTTTTTTTTTTTTTTTGAGTTAAAATCAAGAGTGCTGTGATGAGCAGATACGAGAATTAGAGAGAAGGACGCATGGCTGGACACCTCCGCATGCACTATTGCAGCCTGGCGCATGGACAGGCACAGATAAATTTTATCTGATTTACCCCTTAATCTAGAGACAAAACAAAGAGCTTTAGATGTAAGACAGACCAGATCTGCTCCATAGTTCATCTAGCCCAGCATATTGTGCTAGTCACCCCTGAACACAAGAGGCTTCCAAAGATATTGCTAGATATCCTGCATTAGGTAGATAAGGAATAATCTGCCCTCAACACTGGATATCCTTCCCTATAATATTTTGGCTCCAAAGGCTGAGGTTTGAACATAGAAGCCATCTCCCAAATATTTCCCAACATCCTTGTTTTTGTGTATTTCTGCTTGAAGCACTGCTAACTTTTTCACCTCCATGACAACCGTGACTGTACTTCTGTAGTTTATTTACAGACTGAAGGCTACCAAAACCAGGGCTGGGCTGCCTGAAGTTCATGGTTAAGGCCCCAGATCCACCGAGGTTAGCGGCTCTCTGACATAACCACGCTCCGTAACAGTGATACTGCTACCACCCTCTTTTCCCCATACCAGAAGGATTTCCTCACGTATGTAGAGGTACAGAGCCCAGCACAAGAAAGCCACCTTTCAAATGCCACGAGGAGGTGCTGACTTACCGAAACGCTCTGTTCATCATCTCATAGTGAAAGTGCTCAGGAGCCAGTCCTACCACCACTGCATTGGGGTCATCGGTGGCTATCCCTGGAAAATCAAAACATGCCTCTGAGCGAACACAATTTTATTCTTAAGTACACAGTCAACAATTGCAGTTAATCACTTTACAGCAAAAATGAGCATTTTCTGACACAGACACATCACATTGACTAGTTTTATGTCTTTTAGAAATGAGGAAAGCACCTGTAGAAAAGGTGTTGCTCTATCCAGACTCTGCCATCCTTCACAATGAACACAACTCTGCATCTGGATAGTCTTTAACAACAACTGTCGAACAGCGATTCTCTCACTGCTTCCACTGAAATGCAGCAGACCGCACAAATCACTTTCTTAACTGAATGACTTTTTGTTGCCTGAGAATCTCTTTCTACATATACTCATCTGCTTTGTAAGACAGTACAGCAGGAAGACTAGTGAATTCCATCCATTTTTTCTATTCCCCCTAGTCACAGAACTAACTCCACTTAGGGTATAAAGCCTGACTGCTGTTCTACATATCAGTTTGGTTATGATGGCAAAGATAGTATCGCAGTATGACCTAGAAGTTATTACACTAGATTAGTCTTGGCTCTTCTGGAAGGTCTTTTTTTAACGTGGTTTAGTCCCTTTGAGAACAGCTTGCACCTTCTTTGTCCCGCACTGCTCCAGAGGAGCATAACTGTTTTTACATGGCAGTGCCACCTCTGCACAGAACCAGCAATGGAGGCAGAGTAGCACCTACAGGAGAAACAGTAGTACCAGAGTTTTATTTAGGGCAGGTTAAGTATGAGCTGCATCCTGCACTTGCTGCGGGGTTTGTTCCACCTTTACACAGCACATCCTCTACACCTGTACTGGGACAACTAGAGCTCCTGGGTCTCCTGAGAGTGTCATGGCAGCCCGCTGGCTGATGTCTCCTGCCACGTGTCCTTCAGTTAGCTCAGACAGCAAAATGTACGCGGAGAGATGCCATGTGGATTTGTGACACCACCCAAAAGCATCTGGGTCCTTTAACCAAGAATGGATTACATTCATCTATCTGTGACCAACTTTATAGAGAGATTATCCAAGAATAGTTCAATTGCTGCCATTAACAGGAATGTAAAGCATTGTCCATCGTACTTAAATGTTTCAAAAGAGCACTGACAGAATGTGAGCCAAACTGCTTGCAGCAAAAAGAAACAAAACAATCCATCCCAGATCCAAGCAACACGGGTAATGCCACCAATGCACTCTGCTGATACCTTGATCTCTGCCATCTTTTACAAAATTAACATCAGCTACTGTAAAACTCATGGAAAGATCCCAAATACATGGACATTAAGCCTATTTAACTACCTTCAGTGAAATAACTGCTGTATCTGCTGTTTCTGACCCAAGAAAGCCTTCCTGAGAACACAAATAGAGAATATTGCTGGGGGGCATACTTCTCTGGATACGATGTTAGATAAAACAGATTATCAGGTTTCATTGCTCTCAAAGCCCACAGAGGCTTTTCTCCTGAACACCTACCTTTCTCAAGATTACTGACTAGACTATGGCACTAAAATTTAACAGAAGGTTTCTAACTCCTAGCAAGATTAGAACCTACTTCAATTACCCAGCCATAAGGATTTCAGTTCACAAGGCAAGGGGCAGGGAGCAGTAGTAAGCCATCCACATTTTTGCTGCCTTGACTTTAAATGAAAGCCTGAATATACAATACACATTCTTCAACTCTGAGTATGTTAAAAATGTGGGTATCTTCACTACTTTTGAAACAATGATGTGGTTAAGTCAAAGACTAGCTGTCCTAGCTTCAGGGACCTGCCAGACATGCCCAAGTTAGAATATATCATCTTCTACTCCCCTTATTGTTGAGGGAGGGAAATGGGAACATCTGAAAGTAAAGCAAGTTTTAACCAGTTCTTTAGAGATGACAATCTAGAGAAGTTAGGGCGATGAACTTTCTGTCACCAGTTAAGGTGTCAAAGTACATGGAGTGAGACGCAGATGTTCAATACAAGATAAGTAACAATAACTACCTGGAGATTTTACATTTAATAATAATCTATTAAGAGAGAAATAGCCTCCTGCGTGAGCCTACAGACTGGCTTTTCAGCTCTTCACAAGCAAAACCTCTGTGCAATAGCTGAGGGAACCTGATTTCCAACAAATTGACACATCCTTGCTATCAAACAAATCAGCATTGGTAGGTGCAACAAATCTCCGATGATCTAGTGATAAGTACTACTTTTTTTTTTTACACTGGAAATTAATAAAAAGTATCAAGTTTTACCTTAATTCCTGACTATTTGAAGGCTTTGGCTGCCATTTCCACTACTCCTCAAGAAGCTATGACTTCAGATTGTTTAATGTTACTTTAAAAGGAAGAAAGAACCTTTATGACTCTGGAGAGTTCCATATCTCACGCTTCATCATGGCTAGTAGTATATATATGATTGTCATTCTACAAAATGGAGAGCCAAACATAGACATGGGCATGTCTATGTTTCCTTAGTTGTTCAGTAACTTCCCTCATGCTGTTGTCTGACCACCTCACCTGTGAAATCAGGCAGGGCCTTATCGTCCACCAGGAGGAGAGGCCGCACCTGCTTTTGCTCCAAAAGATTTCTGGCTGCGGTCAGAGACGTGAAGATCTCATTTTCTGCAATGTCAAACCCCAGTTTCATCAGCCTCTCCAGCAGGTCTCTCTTGCACTCCTTCGTTGTGTTTGTCACAAATCGAATGGTAACTGGAGCACTGCGCAGCCTGATGGATAAAGAACAAAGGCAAGCTGGTCACAGCATTCTTCTATTTACACACTCGTATATCTCTTTGGGACTGAAAAAGGACTGTTTGTCTCAAGGCTGCAGATGAAAAGACTGCAGACATCCCAGAGTACTGGTGCCACACAAGAACCGTGAGGTTGTTAACTTCTGTGGACTGGAGGGCAATGAGAAACAGATGGCAAGAATTACAGCTGCCAGAACAAGACTGAGTCCCCGCCCTGCTTTGCTTCTACCAAGAAAAGCCTGGAGGAAAATGGTGATTCCAAACTCCATCTTCATAGTAGTGGCAAAAACCATCTATGATCAACAACAACTTCTTTGCAAAGCCTTTTAATTCAAACTAGAAAACAAATAAACCAGCCCTGTATTCTGGATCAACAGCACCCTGAACCAAAATAAATAAACAAAAGAACCTTGTTGCTAAATTAATATATTGAACTCCACAGGCCGAGTGGATTTGACAGCTGCTGTGTCTCAGAGACGCAGGATGCTCTAGGAGCCTGCGTTACCTGTGTGTCGACTTTATGTCAGCTTTTGCAGCCATTTCTCCCTTTACTGAGGAACACCAATATCACATAAAACCGCATTATTGCCCTACACTGACAGTGCATGCAACCAAACAATCAAATAATTTTAAGTGACAATTTCAATGGTGTTCCCTTTAATTATTCCCCCACCATCACTTTCTCTGTTTGTTGCTATAGAAACAAACACTGGCATCACAACTGCATGGAGAACATCAGAATAAAGTTGGTCAACGCTGGAGACTTGCTTGCACCTGCCACTTCTTTCTCTTGTCCGGTCTGCCACCCAGAAAGATACGCTAATCCTTCACAGGAATGAACTGGTAAAAAAGTCCCCTGGCTGCTAATAAATTTTTTTTTTTTTCCTATGGACCTCAATACTAAGAAGTAACCCTAAAAGTGGAATCTATCCATTTATTCCCTAAGCAAGCTGCATGCCAATCATTTCAGCTTCTCTTTAAGAAGGACAATGACATGGGTTAGCAGAAAAGAGCATGAGAAAATGTTTTTTTCAAACACCTAAGCAGAGACATGAAATGACACCTGCTCTCCGTACCTGTGACAGTAGGTTGAAGCTGACAAAGAGCACCAGATTCTCTGCACCTTATTGCTTCTCTAACCCTCTCCCTTGCCAAAGCCAGTACAGGGCCTGCATGAGCACAGCTCAGTAGGAATCAAGCAGAAGACAAAGGAGAATCAGTGGCTTTATAAACCCATTTGTCTTCTGATTCTGTAGAAGCCATCTTCTGTCCAGTCTACTGCCTGGAGGTAAGCAGCAGACAGGACAGATACCGAGCTCTTCTTGACAGCATCACCACTTTTACATATATATATACATATATATATATGGATTTTTGAGAATGCTGACTCTCTCACCTAGCACAAGCTCCCCCTGCAGCACGAAACACCAGGCAGGCAAGGTCCAGTGAATGAAGGGTACTTATTCTGTACCCAAACACTTTAGCAGTTTTTACCTCCTTGCAATTTTACATCTTTAGGAGACAATTATTTCCACAGAATTATTTATCAAAAGAAATGCAGAGTTTCCTAATCCCTCTGTGAACCTTCCCTCTGAGCAACAGTCTAGCTTTATAAAATCTAAGCAGCCAATACCACTCCAGTAAAAACTTCTCATCCTTAATTCAACCCTTATTCCTCTCTCCTGATTCTTACTCTCACAGCATTTTAAGGTGTCCTCCCTCACTCACCATGATAGTACGCATCACTTTTGTGTTTTTTTTCAAGGTGACTGCTCCAGGAAAATAGTATCATAACACAGTACAAAGATACCTGGCATTGCATATCCTATTTTGCCAGTGACTCAGACAGATTAAGTCATTTTACTATGCCTCAGTTTCTTCAGGCACCCCTTCATCAGAGGAGGAAGAGGAACTTAACTGTCCTGTTTATTAATGTGTTGAAATTCCTACAAAAGATGAGCTCTATTATCAAATGTTCCTCAAACTAAAAAAAAAACCCTGAGGTTGTTTACCTAGCAGAGAAACTTTAAAAATAATAAAGCAAAGCCTTGTCTGAAAGGTCAAATGAAATGAGAACTCTGCAAAAGATGCCTTGCTCCCTAGGCCAAGTTATCCTCTTTTATTCCACTTTAGCTCACCACAGGCCTAAGGGTTTAGACATGCAATCACGTTCCTGTAGTTAAACAAAGCGTCGAGGAACAGCTGAGCTGAAGTGACTTTGGTGTGCATGGGGTAGTTCAGGTTAAGTTAACTACTTTCCACTTTGGTTAAGGCTGCAGTCCCATATGAATTAGCTGAAACATTGTGAATGTTTTTCTGTCTAGAAAAGACTTAGATAAGACCTAGAGAGCAACTCAGGAAAGCTGCAGGTGACTTTTCAATATCTAGGCCCTTTGCTGATTTCTCTTGGTATTAATGCAGGTGTAATAAAAGCAGAATTTGGCTGCGTACTTGCTTATCCACGACAGCATAAAAAGGCAGAAGCTTTGGGCCCGTTTACTTAAAGCAGCATCTTTGTGCAAACAGCACTGACATAACCTATTAGAGGAAATCAAAAAAGGTAGCTTGCCTTTTAAGAGCTTCCTGCGCGCCTGGCACAGCCGAGTCTTCAACGTGAAGTGTGCCGCTGAGATCCACCAAGACAGCTTTCAGCGCACGCCGAGCTGCCATCCTTCCTTCCTCTGGGAAAAGGCAAATAAATGAAACAACAAAAAAACTGGTTAGCAGACAATGGATAATAAAAATAAGGAACTCAGTTAAGCGCCTCATTTATGCCAAGCCCGGTATTACTCAGAACATTACTCGCAGTATTAAATGGGTCCCTTTAGACAGAGAAATAAAAGGCAGTGTTTAAAAAAAATACATAATTGATGGGGTGGTATTTTCCCAAAGACTCTATATATGGAAATCAGGTGCTATTTGTTTTTTAAGTGCCTTTATTTGTGCACGTCAAAAAATTCTCCAAACAAGTAAAACTGTTGGGAAGAGGATCATTAGCTCTGGTATTGCTGGTTCAAGGCCTCAGCAAGCACATTTCAGCAAGTCCCACTGACACCAATGGCGCTGTTCAAGTGAAAATAAATACAATACTACTAAGTGATGATACAGCGCTCTGACTATAAAGCTCAAAATGCTCTGCAAAAGTGGATATTGTTAATTTTACTTTTTTAAGCCAGATCTACAGTGATCCAGTCCACAATTCAGGTGCCCTAACTCCTAGGTTATTCAGTCGTTGACTGCCTGCATGCCAGCATGGATTTAGCCTGGAAGCTCTCAAGACTCAAGGATATTCAGCACCCCAAAGGATTACTCCCTCCTCTTGCAAAGGGGACAGTCAAGCAGTTTTTCTACAGCAAGCTTCTGTGCCACACAAATAGGTACAGGAGACTCAGCCCAAAACAGAAAACAGCATTCAAAGGGTAAAGGCACTATGCAAGAAAACAGTGAGATCATGTGCAAGTCATCTGGTTAAAAAGCTGTTTTCAGAAACCAGTACTTCTCCTTATGTGTGCTGCAAGTGCTGTATTTTGCTCCACAAGCAAGTTTGCTGAGCTATTTCTTTGCAAACATCCAATATGAAAGCTTTCCTCTGTTTGTTAGACAATAACAACTATCTGATCTGTCATTATTAGCAAGTCATTGCGATTTTATGTTTTGATTAAAGACAGAACATGTAACTATTCAAAAACACAGAGTAGCCAACACCATGATTAGAACCTGCCTTAATAAATTTAATTTTCTATCAGGAGAGTTTAATCTTTGCAGACAGTTTTATCAATGATCATGTGAACGTGGCATCTCAGGTACAAGACACACATGCAGAAAACTTTGAGATTCCACTCTCATTATTCCTGCTCGTTCCCTCCAATAAGAAAAAAAATAATAAATCTTTATTTTATAGTACGCCTGCGGCTACACAGGCCAAGGTTAAAAGTCTATGATAAAGAGCTGATAACAGAACTCCTAAGGGAGCTTCCTCAGTTGCAGAGAAGAGGGCACCAGGTTTCTAAGACATCTTCTCCGAGTAAAATACTTAATGCAGACAAAGTGCCTGAGCAGAATGGAATTTGCATGACTCCACATTACCTCCATGACAAAAAAAACCCCTCTCTTCCTTCAGGCACTTCAGCTCTGGCACAGGGAACTTTGAGTGCTGGGAGAGATTAAAAAGAGGATTGAAAAAGGTGCTATTATATAAGCTCTCTAGCCAAAGACACCTGACTGCAGAGCAACTGCGCCATTCCTGCATGGATAGCACAGCTAAGGACACTGATAGAATATCCTAGGTTATCAGAAATTGGATTTTTTTAAATTCGTCTTTTACCCTAGATCTCCCTTGGTTCTTCTGTTCACAGTGTATTTATTCAGGTGGTATGGAAGGTATTTGCAGAGCCAGTTTTCAGCACAGCTGATTTTAAGTATAAAGCTCATGGCCTAGCAAGAAAGCCCTAAAAAACTTCAGTACCTCAGTTTTCATAATCGCAGCCCAACACATTAGAGGAACCTCACCTTCATGCTGGCATTACAGCTACAGCAACAGGACGAAGCCATATGATAATTCAGGCTAGTCAGGACACGAGGGACCATCCAGTTGAACTCCCAGCAGGTCTACGGCTGTCTACGGGGCCTACATGCCATACAGGGACACAGCAAGGTGCTCACAACCTACGTGAAGAGGCCTCGTCTCCTTGCAGGAAGAAGGCTTGCAATGGCACAGATGCTGCTGGGGCTGCTCTCCGTTTCAGATGTGCTCCGCACAGGACTGGTCTCCCCTGGCTCCTCTTCCTCCTCTCCCCCACAGGCCACCCCACAGGGCCTGTGCCATGCCACCAGCGAAGGCCAGGCCTTTCCCACGGACAACGGCTGAAGCCACCGGCGAGCCCCAGGACGAGGCAGCAGAGCAGCCCAGGCCTGGGTCAGGCTGCGCTGAGGGGAGTGGGGCTGCAGGCTCCAGGGCCACCCACTCAGCCCCACACGGCCTCCCCTGTGGGCTTGCCATTCCCTCTGAGAAGCCGGGGCAACGAGCGTCTCCGTGTTCGCTGGAAAGCCCCGGGGTCGGTCCCCTGCCCCACAATGCCTTCGAAGACGGATACCTTCCCCCGCCCTCGCCGTACTGGAAGGGCATGAGAATACAGCTACGCTC